TGCATTATTAGGCGACACCCGACACAGATCGAGCACTTGCCCGCACAGAACATACTCACCTCTAATGTGGTGCTCAGAGTTTTATACAGAGGAACGCCGACCAACACTATAGTTGTGGGCGATCTCTTGACTTTCCGTTTAGAGGCCCGATCACAATGTATGGCCTTATATGACAGCATATTTATATCCAAATTTATCTATATTTAAACCCTCTATTAATTTATAGATCGATACGATTTGTATAATAACGATATATTTGCGGCGAATGTGATTGCAAAGGATCCTTACACTGGACGTCAGGTCCATTTGGTTGACTCCAGAGGGTATACATTGTATTCGTGTGTCAATGAGTTTAATTAAGAAAAATATCTCAATTGATCAGATGTCCGGTCGATCTCTATGTGTTCCCAGAATTACACAAAACACCGGACGGAGCCCTCGAAGCAGAATTCTATGCCTTTAAGATACCGGACTCTAATTTCCTAGTATTCCAGGCGACTGTGCGGACGTGTAGGGGCCCGTGTGAACCGGTATAGCAATCAACTTATTCATAGCAATTAGAGTTTGCGAACTATTATTAATGCAATAATAATTTTCAAACACATTTTAGGTTATTTGTAACGACAAGGGCAGAGGTCCGGGTTCTTTCCCGTCGTGGGGTCGACGCAAACGAGCGGCTAATACGGCAAAGGAATCGACGCAAACCAAAGCCAACTCCACAGAAGAGGCGGAAGAAGTGCACGAATTATTGAGAGTATATTTGCAACGAGAAGACGTACCGCCGCCTGAAAGCAAAGCCCGATCCGCGCAAACACCACAAACTCCGGCAACTGTTGGCAAACTTTCGCCCAAAGTTTGTGTCTCTCAGACCAAATATTATGTGTTAGTGACTGCTCTCACAATTCTCACATCCATTCTCATCATCACGAGTGCGACCGTAGCTCTCGTTTACTTCAAGAGAGTTAAATCTGCGGTAATATATCGTATCATTTCGAGTGACCACTCGAGCCGTGCATTCATTAACAATTCATTCATTTTTGTAGAAAAAGCAAATCGATTTCGTTGTTCCCAAACCAACAAATAGCAACTTTTACGCCAATCAGCACCGGTCAGCCCAACCCATCCCTTCCCACCACAAGTTTGACGACCCGAGTGAACCCATATATACGGATCCATCACTATTTGAAAGGTCTCGAAGTCTCCGAAGTCTCACTGTAACCAACTCTGAAGACATCCGATCCGACCGGACGTCCGACCCATTGGCCCATCAATTGTCCCATCAATGATATATCCGTCCATTTTTAGAGTTTTTACGTGTTTTTCATTTTTAACAATATCTTTAAAACCATTATATCATTGAATATTTATTCAATTTTTATTTTGACTTAATTTCATCGTTAAATCTATTTAACAATTAATGTATTAATGTATTCA